TGTTGTTGCTGTTGCTGTTGCTGTTGCTGTTGCTGTTGCTGTTGCTGTTGCTGTTGATGTTGATGTTGATGTTGATGTTGATGTTGATGTTGCTGTTGCTGTTGCTGTTGATGTTGATGTTGTTGTTGCTGTTGTTGTTGCTGTTGATGTTGATGTTGTTGTTGATGTTGATGTTAATGTTGTTGTTGATGTTGCTGTTGCTGTTGCTGTTGACGTTGATGTTGATGTTGATGTTGATGTTGATGTTGTTGCTGATGTTGATGTTGTTGTTGATGTTGATGTTGTTGTCAATGTTGATGTTGTTGTTAATGTTGATATTGATGTTGTTGTTGACGTAGTGGTTGGTTCTATTTTCGAAAAACTTATATATAAATTAGAAAAAAAAGGTTGAGCGATTTATGATCAGAACTGAGCTTTTTTTGATCTATTAAGAATATTTCTCGTTTTGAATAGATTATGAGAAGCTCACAGGGGTTCATGTAATTGTTCACATCTTCCGTCTTCTATAATATTTATGATTATATTTGTATTACACTAATTCAAACGAATCAGCTTACAGGTAGTATGATTTCAGCTATCATACCTTTTTAAAATTCTGTATATAAACTTAAATGATATTTTTCATTAAAGTTTGAGTGTTAATTATTTCTTTTACACACGTAGAACTTCGGAAACAGTGTTTACTGATCGACGGTCAAAAAATTCGAATGGTTGTTTCTTACTATCATTGCTAAAATAACAAATAGATTCTGTCATAAATCATGCGTTTCATTTATTGTTACACACACTGACACATGTTGCATCACTCACGATTTGTCATGATATAGAAAGTGATATTTTATTTCATTCTGTCACTAGCTGTGACAGCTATGAAGAAAAATTCTTATCATTCATTAAACCATGACTATCGTATTTTATAGTCGAATCTAACAAAAAACACAGTGGAAGTTTTCAAGTAAAACATAGTCTATGTAATTGCTATCAAATTCCATAACATTATTTTCAGAGACCTGCAACAGTTCTTTTAGTTATTGATAAATATTGAATAAAAGTTTCGTATTCAATATAAAATTATTTTTGGAACGTAGGTTTAATAAGGAAGTCGTACAACTTTCAAACAAAACATGAGATAAAATTTATTAAGAAACGCACTGCATTTTTTTTCGGATTTTCTCTTCTCATCCAATAAGAATATCAGCTTTTTTGTAAGGAAAGCCTGTCATTTAGTGGATGGAAGACTTCTCTATTGATCTCAAATTAAAAAAAAACAACTTGCTGTTGACACGCAGTTTTCATTATCCGTTTCTTGAAAACTACAAATAGAACTGTTGTAGAACTCTAATAACTTTATAGATTTCGGATATCTACTTCTTTACTAAGCGATGAGATCACTTAGGATTATCGATGTTAAACGTTCTCTGTGACAGCAGATGCAAGCACAGAAATGCCAGAATGAGATAAGATCAGACGGCACGTTTTGCTTAGACACGATACATGTAGTCACTCAACTGATTAAATGATACACATTTTATAGGTGAAAGACGATTATATCAATTTATCTTTTGCATAGATTGACTATACTAAGTTCGACATGCGGTATATCGGTAATCGATTAGTCCACCGGTGACTAGCCGGTACCAATTCCATCTATTGGCTATAATTTAGATAATTTTTTTTCTTAAAGTATGTTGTATTCGTACTAACCAGGCGGTATTCGTGTTCCAAACATGACGATCATGGTAACAGTGTCCATATATGATACCAAGTTGTCATTTGGGTTCGGTATGTTAGTAAACAACTTACAACTAGAAGTTGACTGCTGAAAAGTAGCCGCCTGACATTGAACTTGATCTAAACAAGTTATTTGGCACTTGTGGATGTTCGGTACATTGATATTGATGAATGGTAAACAAGTGGTGTTAGCACATTGAAATTGCCAATCAGTCATCATAGACATCATAAATGAGTGTATATCTTCTTGAACTGACTGTTCCATAAGAACCAATAGGACCAATAGTGGAAATTTTAACCAAGCCATAACTAACAAGACTTCAAGGTAATGAAATGAATTCAATTTAGAATGAAATGCAAAGCATCTACTGAGTAATAAAGGCCTTTTTATTTCTCTCTCTCACTTCACACATCACTTTTTTTTTCCGTCAATATTCTTAAAAAAAAAAGTGACGACTTTCTCTATCATTTGAATTAACAAGTGGAGTTTCACCTTGAAATTATCTTATAATTTGTTGTTTCTATTCAAAAGAATTCATGCATTCAGAAAGATCACTTTCTTAATTTATGTGCTGCTGGAAGGTAAAGCTGTACGTATTTTGAGCCATTGTTTCATATGAAAAATGAAGAATGAAAAATACAAAGAAGACTCAAACTGAGAACACTCGGGTTGTTAAGAAAAAAAAATAAATATGTGGCTGCACGTAACACTTCTTAATAAAATAAAAATCATGTTAATTAAATTGATACTATTGCGAAAAGAAAAAGTACTGTCAATATAAGAAAAGAAACTTTTTAGTAAGTAAAAAAATTAAGAGAAATAGTTTCTTAATGTTCTAAAATAACTTTAACAATTCTTCATCGCAACAATAGATTGCAAAGCTCTTTCTTATAGTAAAAACAAACAATCGGATATTATGTTGTCTTCATCTTCGTTCTTTTTTTCCATTTCCGTATTTCCATGGTTTAATATCGATGCACAATGAAGAGTTATTTCAAGAGCAACTTGATCATTTGAAAAGAAATGATAGAGTCTTTCATTGTTAATAAGAAGTCCTATGTCTGCAAGAATAAAAACAATAAAAAGACATCGTTTAGTATTTGTTATCAAACCCTACGAAGATTTAGCCAATGTTGGATCTGATTTTTGTTTTGAGATAAGTTATAAAATGAGCAACACAGTTTATCGTAATAATGATCCATCCAATGGTCGTGGCCATTGCATTTTCGTCGGCATTCTAAGTCATTACTCAAAACTGCAACAGTATTGTCATTATATCGGCACAACATATCGTGGTGTGAATATGAAAAAAAAACAGATGTAGATAAATATGAGAAAGATTAATTTATTCTGACGCGAACTTTCTTGTCTTCGTCAACTTACAAAGATGTTGCGCCAACCGTTCTAATTGATCTTCCTCTCGGTCTAAATTCGAAGTATCGAGTCATATGTACTTATCGCATGCAAAATCCGTGCATAGCCTTTGATGTACACACCATATCGACGCATCCGAGCGAGAACGAAATCCTCATTGTTCTATTCACAACATTCCAAATTACTAGTATCAAGAAAAATCTTGATGACATAAGATATATCCAACTCGACGAGTATGGCATTGACAATGCCGAATCGATCTTCACTCAAACATATTGATTCACCTTATAATATTTTATAGGTTAATAACAATATAAATAAATCAAATGTCTGGGGTGTGGGTGTGAACGTATAGAAGATACAGACTCATACCCACACCTATCTGGTCAAGAATTGAATTCTTTCATGTCCATTCCTGACTTATGAACGTTTTCTCATGTACGTAAAAAGATATCGAAATAATCTTGGAAAAAGCAAACGAGAGAGAGAGAGATTGAATAGATATTATGTAAGAACGAGTGAAAAGTGGTATATTCATCTGATATTCATTTTCACAGTTAATTTCATCCATCAACACTAGCATGCTGCCCATCGATGCGATTGGTAAGACATATAATATAAACATTTGATGATAATACAATGCCTGTTGTTTGATTCCATCGACGATGAATGTTCAAAAAACGACTAAAGTGTATGAACCAAAAACATCCGATTTCAGTGTTCTCAGTGGAAAATATGAATCGCCATATGGCGAATACGATGTTTCCTCTTAGGGAAACCATCAAATATACACTGTATAGTGAAATATATGTACCATCATGATGAACAGTGACGTTGAATAAAAACCGGAATCTTCCACAATTCCTCATGAATTCCACTATGTTCATATAGTTCTTCTATCTTATTCAGTGCTTTTGTTCTAGTCATGAAACTAAAGAGAATAAACGATTGAATGAATGCATCATGTAATTATGTATCAATTGAGCAAAAACAAAAGAGACGATTAAAGAAAAAACGGCATGCGCATCGACAACGACATGGAACACAGGTATGGTCTATCTTGAGATTAAATTGTTAGCATTGAATAAGAAACCAACTTCAAGTTATTGATCTTTCGTATAGATCGTATCAACAGATATTTGAATTCATCATTCGATTTGTTCATGGTTTTGCTTTGAACTTTCCAACGGTATTTGAATTTGATCTTTTTGATTCTTCTTTAAGTCAATTGAAGATCTTCAGTCATCTGATGGTCGTCCTTGCCGACGTGAAACTAGTTATGGTAGCTGTTCTCATCCTGTTATTTGGTCATTTGTATCATAGTTACCATGGCCATTTTGACTGCGCTACCGACAAACAGGCACAGGTGAATTTCGGTTTCTAGACCCTATCCTTGCAGTCTAGGAAATATGAAAAAAGTTGCTCTTTCCGTCTTCTGAGAAGCATTATAGTGGAATAATTACTTTTTATTATACTAAATCGCAGTTTCCTAAAGCTGAAAACTTCATTTTCCAGGAATCTTTCGAGTGAGAAAGGCTGGATTAATGCAGATCATCAGTATCAAGTGCCAGCTATGTCTACACAAAATATTAAGTTGATAATAGTAATCGTTAAGAGAATTGTTCTTGACCTTCTTTTTCTATCTACTGTGCGCAGGGTGAGAGCTGAATGATGACCAGAGAGAAAGTAATTTTGTTGATTCTCTCTTCATGTTCATCAATAAACAAAAAAGAAGAATAAATAATAAATGAATAGAAATAAGACAACACTGAACAAATAGCTTATAAACAAAGACATAAGCAAATATATATATATATCGATAGTAAACAAACAAATGTTACATTTCTATTGCGTCGTACGAGGATTTTTTCTTATAAGAATAAGAAATTCCTCTTCATATTTTTTTTGAAGGCAATACAAATACTGTAAAGATAAGTAATGATGGAATAAATGAAATATAATAACCAATAAAAAAAAGCCATGGATCATGAGTTGATTCCATACATCTTGATAAGAATGATATTATTAAACGAGGTAAAGCTAATAGAATTAAAATACATGGTGCAATAATAAGATGTTTGTGTCGATTGATTTGAACATAAAAAAGAGTTTTATTTTTTACTTTCTTTTGAGTTTTTGTTCGAGTTTTAAATACTTGAATAATGATAATCAGACTAGATAGAAAATCAATTATAAATGGTATTAAAAAATGAAATAGATTAATAAATCTATCAAATATTTTCAATTGAAATGAATAATTAACAATGCACCATGTTCGTTGTTCATCTTCATCATCAAATAATTGACGAGACATTGGAGCATGAATATAAGTAAGAATTGTTAAAGAGAATATTATTGGTATAACACATTTAGCTATATATCGACTTTTTAATTTATTAAATTTAATTCCTTACAGACTAGTAATTGCTCGTTCAATAGCAACACATGCATTTAACCAATCACCTGAACTAAGAAAAATTTTTAATAACATATCAATTAATAAACAATTCATATAAAGAAATGAACGATTTGTTATAAGATTCATTTGAAAAAAAAATAAGTTGCCAATATTTTATTGTAAAAATAGTTATTGTTAATAATGATATAATTGATGTTGTTAAAAGATAAATTCCACAACCAACCATCATCGAAGATTTTTTTCGAAAAATTAATATTGATAATAGTCCACTAATGACACCAATTATAAACATAATAATCGTTAATATTACCGTTATTTTAACTGATTTTGATTGTTAGAAAATGATTTTCAACACATGGAAATTGATAATATTTTATTCGATGAAGATAATTATAATTAAATATTGTTGAATTCAACAGTTTAGATACATTTACACACATATTATCAATATAAATATCATCTAATGGAATAAATTCTTCTCTTAAAATAGTTAGATAAGAATTATTTAAATATTCAATAAATAAAATATTGAATGGTTTTTTAACAAATAATGTAACTGAATGTTGATTAAATGGTACTTTTTTAAATGTTGTTATTCGTTGATGTCTTCTATCAT